CCGTGATTATTTTAATCGCGGCTTCATTTCCCTCTGCCGATCTGGCTAATCTACATGCCTCCGTCGAAGGAGGCATGTAGTCTAGACACACCCTGTGTGGCATGCAGCTGGAGCCACCTGCCCAGGGGTGGCACAGCACGTGCTCGCACATACACAGGTTGCTGCATGATCTGTGGTAAGCAAGGCCCACGCACACGGTCCCTTGTCTCTCTCCCCACCCCCACCAGGAAGGGGACTGTTATGGCACTTACATGGTGTGGCCTCCCTGAATGACCCTGCTGACTCCGCTGCTGGGAGAGCTTGGGGGTCTGGCAAGTGTGGCACCCTCCATGGCAGCTCCTCCTCTGCGCCTTGGTCAGGGCCCTCTGGTCCCGGATCGCTGCCCCCCGGGGTGGCACGGACCATCCCTCCCCCCTCCCATGATGCGGTCCAGGGTGTCAAAGTAGGGGCAGGTGTCTGCCCCTGCTGAGGAGCTACCCTGAGTGGCCCTGGTGTACACCTGCTGCAGCTCCTTGCTCCGCACCTGTTCTTGTGTGCGCATGTGGCCTTTGGTGGCGATGGTGCCAGCTATGTGTCCATAGGCAGTGGCGTTCCTCCTCTAGTGTGGCGATCATGGACATTGGAGGCCACCCACCAAACCTCAATGAGGTCCATGATCTCCGCACTAGTCCAGGAGGGCACCCGCCGTCTCTGGCCCCTGGCTGGCTCCTGGGAGCTGGAGGACTGGGCGGGGGACAGCTGGCTGGCACTGGCTGCCTGGCTCATTCTCTGGGTGAGGGGCAGTGACTGCTGGCAGGCCTGGCTCTGGCATACAGTATGGCCAGAGTCTACCCCTTTAAGGGCTCCAGGCCTGGGGGAGAGGGGATGAGTTTTCCTGGTTTGGCCCAGAGTGGCCACCAGGGGAAACTGGGAAGGGCTGGAGGCCCCCTATTTCGGAATAAGCGTCTACACAGCGCTTATTTCGAATTAGCTATTTCAAATTTGGCGTTATTCCTCGTAGAATGAGGTTTACCAAATTCGAAATAAGCGCCCTGCTATTTCAATTTTATTTCAAAATAGTGGTTTGCCTGTGTAGACGCTAGGAAAATTAATTCGAAATAACGGCTGTTATTTCAAATTAACTTTGATGTGTAGACATACCCTAATTGACGACACAAGGTTCAGAGCAATGAAAAATCAGGCCCAGTAAGCATATGGACTATGCCAAGATATTGCCAGAGCTGGCCAGGTACAGAGGATCATTGTCTCTGAGGATATCAGAGCATACAACACTGAGACCCTGGGACAACTGAGAAGGATTTGGTACCCTACTTCACAAACTATGGCTTCTTGATCTGAGGCTATAAATCACAGTCCAGGCCTTAATATTTTTTACTATTAATTTGCTTTTAATGTGGATACTTCAGATCTTAAGGAGTCATTAGAAGCTGTATTCAGTAACCCTTCTGATGAAGCTTATGCTCTCAGAATTTCATTTTCAATTTAATTTTCTAACACATCCAAAAAGCTCACGAGACGGTCACTCAAAACTCCCTAATTTTGCATCATTTTTCCCAAAAGCCTTGGTTCAGTTAAAGATCTGTGAACATCAGCAAAACTAAGTAGATCATCCCCAACTTTCCATTTTGCAGTGAAATCTGAAAGAAGATGTAATAATTTTGGGTTTCATTTTGAATTGTTCACCCAGCTCTCATTCTAAATTCCAGGGCTAGGTGTGAGTTATCAGTACTGCTGCCTTCTGTACTTTCTGGCACGGCCACTGCTCTAGCAGCCTCTTCTGACCAGTGATTGCATTACACTTTGGGATACCACAGTAAGTAGAAAATGCCCTACATTTAAAAACCAATTTATAATAGTTTTATGGTGCTTGTGCTTAGCTAACATAGGATTGTATATCTTGGAAATAAAATAGGAAAAATTGTGTACACACTCTCTCTCTCTCCCCACTCCTGATTTTATATAATCCTATGAGCAGCCTACATTGTCTCTAAAAAAAGAATGATGGTACAGTGACTCATAGCAATGAGGGGGTACTTTGTACTTTTATCCATTTCACTTAAAGGATTTCCCTATCATCAACCTCTAGGCTCAGTAAAAACAAGACTATGAGTCAGCCATCCAAGGTCATTGAAAGAGTTGTGATAGAAGCTACAGTCTTTGTTCAGAGAGATGTATGGGAATCAATGCTGACAAAGTGAGCAGGTGAGCTACTGTTAAATCACCTTCTCAGCCACCCCAGTCAGAACAATCCTGAATAAGCAGCCTTAAAACATTTTACAAAATTAAATATTTGGGTTTTTTTTTTGCCCATTTCACAGATGGGGAAACTCAGGCACAAAGCAATTAAATGACTTGACAAGATCACAAAGAAGGTCAGTGACAAAATAGGATTACAATACTTCTCCTTACTGTCAGTTACTCTCTAAGCAAGAGACACATTGGGTCTCATGAAAGGGAAATTTCAAAAAGACTTTTGCCAGCAATTTTCCTCCTCCTGTCAAGTGAACGGAGCTGATGTATAAACTTGGGTCTTTCTTGTAAATAACAGAAGAAAATAATGTGAATAAGAAATAAAAAGTGTGAGAGCACATATTGAATGCATTTTTTTAAGTGTAGCAATAATTGCTTTGGAAAGTGGATTGTTTGCAACATTTTATCATGTCGACTGTTTTGCAAGAAAGAATTCTGACAGGCATGCTAATGTTCCTGTAAAAGAAGGGAGGAAGATTAAAAAGCTCATCGGCACCTCAATCTTTTAACTAAACAAAATATGACTTTGGAAGAACTGGAACTGAAGTAAGAGCAACTGCAAAATCAAGTGCTCTTATCAAATTTTAATTTAAAAAAAATATATTTTGCTTTGAATTTGATGCCCATGACATGGAAGGCCTAAAATGCAGCAACTAGAACTCAGCAAAATATATGTAGAGGCCCAGCCTTCCAGCATTGCCAGTGCACTCCCCAATTTCTAACCTGAAGTGCTGCTGGCTGTTCCAGACATGAAACACTCACATGCACTGCAGACCGGGCCAGTAAAAGTCCAGTTGGTGTGGAGCTGGGCAGACTCTCTACTAGGGATGTAAAGGCCTAGTTGACTATCTGATAAGCAAATGCTTATTGGATAGTTGACAGGATACTCGCAGCAAGGGGGGAGGTACTTATATGTGGCAGCGCCGCACCAATCCTGGGGTTAGGTGCTTCTTGCGGCACTGCCACTTTGAATGCCATGGGGAGCCCGGCGTCAGGCTCCTCGTGGCATTTCAAAGCATCAGTTCTGCATGGAGCCCAGGATCAGCTGACCCCAGGCTCCACGCAGCATGCCAGCTTTGAAATGTACAAGAGTCTCTTTTGCATTTCAAAGTGGAAGCGGAACATGGAGCCTGGGGTCAGAGGGGAGTCCCCATTGGGGCTCTTGTGCATTTTAAAGCGGAAGCGCCTGAGAGGAGCCCAGAGTCAGCAGAACTTCCCGCTAGCCCTGGGCTCCACCTGGCATTTCAACTTTGAAATGCACAAAAGCCCCCACTGGGGCTCTTGTACATTTCAAAGTGGAACGCGGAAGTGCCTATTGACTAGTGGAGTAGTCGATGGAAATTCTATCTATCAAATTAATTGCTACTTATCATCCCTACTCTCTACCTAACTCTACATGTCTCCTCCAGAAGTGGCAAAATGTACCTCAGCTCCTAGTGGAGGGATGGACATGGGGGCTCCCTGTGCTGAGCACCAACTTCGGAGCTCCCATTGGCTGGGAACTGTGACCAATAGACTCAGAAGGGGCAGTGCCTGCAGAGGGAGGCAGTGCACAGAGTTGCCTGACGGTGCCTCTGCCTAGGAGCTGCCTCTGGGGAGCTGCCTGAGATAAGCACTGCCTGAAGCCTGCATCCCTTAATCCCTCCCATGCCCCAACCCACTGCCTCAGCTCAGAACCCACTTCAGTATTCTGAACCCCTTGGACCCAGCCTGGAGCCTCCTCTTGCATTCCCAAACCCTTCATCACTGGTCCCAACCCAAAGCCCATCCACACACTCACGAGTGTGAAGCAGAACGATGGAGCCGTTAGCTGGAGGGAGTGGAGCTGAATTGCTCCACTTCCTCCCACCACTGCTGGGGTGTGCAAGTGGCCTGACCCCTGCTGCAGGTGCCAGGCATCCCACCAGTCCCTTGGGCCTTGTCGCTTGGGGGAGGAGGCATGGGGGGAAGAGGCAGTATGGGGGGCAGAGGAGGAGCGGAGAAGAAGTGAGGGCAAGGCCTGAGGCAGGTTGTCCGGGACCTCCTCAGGTGGCACAGAGAGAATTCACGCGGGGGGAGGGGGTAGTAACATGGCTGGGACACCTCTTGCATCCTTTGCAATCAGGCATTCCGCTTGACACCTGCTGCCATCTGGACATCCAGCCTTTGATCAGTCCCCATTAGGTAGCTGGAGATGGGTTACACACATCTCTCACCATTCTTGCCAGCAAGTTAAGGAAGTATGGATTGGAGAAATGGACTGGAAGGTGGATAGAAAGCTGGCTAGATTGCTGGACCCAATGGGTAGTGATCGATGTCTGGTTGGTGGTTGGTTTCTAGCGGAGTGCCCCAAAGATCAGTTCTAGAGTTGGTTTTATTTAACATCTTTATTTATGACCTAGATGAGGGGATGGATTGCACCCTCAGCAAATTTGCAGATGACACTAAGCTAGGGGGAGAGGTAGATACGTTCGAGGGCAGGGATAGAGTCCAGAGTGACCTAGATTAGAGGCTTGGGCCAAAAGAAATCTGATGAGGTTCAACAAGGACAAGTGCAGAGTCCTGCATTTGGGACAGAAGAATTCCAAGCATTGTTACAGGATGGGGATCGACTGTCTAAGTAGCAGTTCTGTAGAAAAGGAGCTGGGGATGAGAAGCTGGATATGAGTCAAAAGTGTGCCCTTATAGCCAAGAAGGCAAATGGCATATTAGGGTGCATTAGGAGGAGCATTTCCAGCAGATCCAGAGAAGTGATGATTCCCCTTTATTCGGCACTGGTGAGGCCACATCTGGAGTATTGCGTCCAGTTCTGGGCCCCCCACTACAGAAAGGATGTGGACGCATTGGAGAGGGTCTAGCGGAGGGCAACCAAAATGATGAGGGGGCTGGAGCACATGACCTATGAGGAGAGGCTGAGGGATTTGGGCTTATTTAGTCTGCAGAAGCGAAGAGTGAGGGGGGATTTGATAGCAGCCTTCAGCTTCCTGGAGGGAGGTTCTAAAGAGGGTGGAGAGAAGCTGTTCTCAGTAGTGACAGAGGGCAGAACAAGGAGCAATGGTCTCAAGCTACAGTGGGGGGGTCTAGGTTGGATATTAGGAAAAATTATTTAATTAGGAGGGTGGTGAATACTGGAATGGGCTACCTAGGGAGGTGGTGGAATCTCCATCCCTAGAGGTTTTTAAGTCTCAGCTTGACAAAGCCCTGGCTAGGAAGATTTAGTTGCGGTTGGTCTGCGGTTGGGCAGAGGGGCTGGACTCGATGACCTCCTGAGGTCTCTTGCAGCCTTAGGATTCTATGATTCTCACACAGTGCATCACGGGTCCAGGACTAAGTGCATATCTCACCTCTCCAGGTCCTTATAATTCATCTGCTGCAGGGCTCATTATCTCTATCATGGAGTGGAATCAGGGTGATTCTCCCTCTCTCAAATCACAGCAGGCCTGTCTTATCTTCATCACCCATTGTATTTTCTTTCCAGGAGCAACAACAGTGGTAACCAGTTACCAGTCAGATTTCTTAAAGCAAACTATTATTTATTTAGAACAAAAGCATTGAGGAGAAAACAGATCTTAAAACAATAAATAACCAGCATGCAAGCCTGTCTTTCCAGAAGGCTTACCATTCCCTGGAACTGGGGAGAGAGCCAACCCTTTCAGACTCCTCCGCAGAGTTTAGTGTCTGTGTCAACTTGTCCTCCTGACAGCCCCTGATAAGTCACTCCCCCCTCTGCTGCGAATGGCTTTTGAACTGTTTAGTGTTCTTTGGATGTCTTCATTCCCAGCCTTGACAGAACAACAGTGTCAATTGGAACTGAAAAATATCCCGTTGTCTTGTAATTGCCACTCATGTTTATTGGAAGGGTTTCTCATATTTAGCTCTTGCTTTCCTGCTTGCTTTTCCCACAGCCCCTTATTAGGTTACAACATTCAATGAGAAAAAATGTTACGATGCATTACACAGTAACTTCACCTCACCAACCAGGCCGCACACAACGTTCATAAAATTGTTTTAGTATGGTATTCTTAGACTATTACACAGCAATTCCACTTTGGTCACAAAATAACCTCTTGAAGATCTACTGATTTCTGTTAACCATAGTACCGGTGGCTTAGCTGGAGGGGGATGGGTTATAAAAGATTTCAGGCTCTGGGAAATTGTGGTGAGCGCACTTGGAGGATGTGCTAGAAGTTCTATCCTCCAACCATGCAGCTGCCAATAGAGATTATTTTCTGAGAATCATCACAGCAATTTAGGCTTCAGTTACCAATTTTTACTCTTGTTATTTAGCCCTGACTTCACATTTCCCCTGCTGTCTGTTGCAGTGAGCTTTAGAATGCTTAGGTAAAAAGTGGAATGGGCAGTGTATTTCTGGGTAATCGCAGCACAGTTCAAGCAGTGTTAAAAAAGCATGAGTCTGCAGCCTGATGGTTTGTATTAGATTGTTTGTTTTTTATAGCTGTGGCTACAGATAATGTCCTGCAGCTGAATTTCATAGCCCTTTTTCTCTGTGATGGGCTAGACAAGAACCCTTATACCAAACATTCCTGAAATTCAGGGACGTTCCAGTTAGCTCCTGTTCATCACTTGCTATCCCCAGCCCTTACTTACACACTCTGATAAACAGTTTATTTTTAAATTATGCGATACATACAATTAAAATCACGTGTTTATAGTTATGAAATAAATGGTCTGTTTTTTATTCATGCTATTTAAATCTAAAATGAAGCATTTATAATTATACATTTTGTGGGGACAGAGTGCTGCGGCTGGGGGCAGAGGAGAGGGAACAGGATGCTGGGAGGGCAGAGGACAGGTTTCTGCAGCAGGGGACAGAGTGCCAGTGGGGACAGAGTTCGGGGAGTGGGGATGGGAATAGGGACAGAGTTCTGTAGCTGGGGACAGGAGAGTGGGGACCGAGTTCGAGGAGTGGGGACAGAGTTTGGAAGTGGGGACGGGAATAGGGACAGAGTTCTGTGGCTGGAGCCAGAGGAGTGGGGACAGCATTCTGTGGCTCGGGAGTGAGGGCTGGGGAGTGGGGTGCCAGTGGAGGCAGAGAGTCCCCTGCATCTCCCTCCTCCCAGCATTCTCCTCCCCCCCCCAGGGAAACCAGCGCGCACCTGCCCAGGGGGCCGACCCCCCCACCCGCGCAGGGAAGCCCCGAACATGCTTGTCCACGCGCCAAGGGGCCCCGGCCGAGGGCGCAGCCTGTTGGACTCCAGCTGCGGCCAGTGACTGCCCCCCCCCGCCAGCTCTGCTTCCCATCCCCCTTCCTCCGGCCCCCCCTCCTGTCCAGCCCCTCCAAGCCCCGATCTCCCCCTAGCTCTGCTTCCTGCCCCATCTTCCTCCCGGCCC